ATGTCTTTCACCTTTCGGAATTGGAAGGTAAAGATGTTAAGGCTGCTTTATTGGAAGCTCGTTTGCGACAAAGTGAGCAAGAAGTAGTAACCCTTAGCCACGAAATTGGCTAGCTGAGGGTTAGATTTTATGAAGCCAGGGCTAAATGGGTTGAAGTCTATAATGCCATTCTTGTTGCAACTGAATGCGAGGCTGCCTCCGCTGAAAGAGTGATCAACTTAGAGGCAGCCTTGAACTCCAAAATTGAAGAGTTTGCTTCTACAGGGGCGAAACACGCCCAACTGGACGAGAAGTATAGGAAAACTATCGAGCATAATAGGCTTTTTAGTTCAACTGTCCGTGACCTTGATGTTAGCCTCAAATCTGCTAGGTCCGTCCGGGAACACCTTTATGCAGAGATAACCCTCAAGTTTACTTTTTGCGTCCTTTCGTATACGGCTTCGGGTGTATATTTCTCCGAAGGCATTTTTGATTCCGGACATAAATTCTTCTGAAACCAACCCTTTAACATGAGAGGTTTTTTAATAGAAGTTCCTCTTATGTTTACAGTGCTCTTGAAGAGGACGTCTCCTGTTCATTACGACACTAGCATTTGAAGTACTTGTTTAATTTTCAAATGACAAAGTTAATTCATCGTACATATAAGAAATAAGATAAAAATAAAAGGATTTTATTTATTCCTTCTAATTTCAAAAAATACATAAGCATTTGCTATGCTGAAAAGAAATTGCCATTACTTGTGGCTAACTTGTACAACTTATTTCTACTGGGCTAGTCGCGTATTCCCCGGTCCCGATGATGTAATTATATTTCCGATTTTTCATTTCCCGGTCGACGTGGCAGTCACTGTAGCTTCATCCTCATATCATTCCTCCCAGTGTTCGAATGCGAAGAGTGTGAATTGGAACACTAGAAGTCTTGTATCTTCGAAGATTCCACTAATGCATTGTTAGATAATCCTCTAGTGGTTTGTGCTCGTGAATGATCAGGTAACCTTTGCTCAATAGCAAAATTAACTTCCCGATGAGAATTTTCTATAGAGCAAAAGATTATCTAACCATCCCCGAGTGAATCTTTTGCTTGTGTGCCTTGCTATTAAAGGTCTTATTGTTGTTGTCTTCGCAATATGTATTCTATTGCTGCCACGTTAAAAACCTTGCCAGAAAAACCCAATTGGGACAAAAGCTGAACGAAGGGAAAAAGAGTGCAGCACATACTCTCTGATTGAATAATGTTCATCATCAATAATATCTTTTGAGGTGTGCCACGTTCCAATTGCTGGGCAACTTTTCTCCATTTTGGTTTTCCAACTCGTATGAACCTTTTCCGGTGATAGCTGAAACCTGGTAAGGACCTTCCTACGTTGGACCTAGCTTCCCTGCATTGAGCTCCCTGGTGTTTTGAGTTACTTTCCTTAGGACCAAGTTTTCTACTTTGAAATAACGGAGGTTGGCTCTTCGATTATAATACTGCTCCATGGTTTGGTTTTGAGCTACCATTCTTACATGTGCCAAGTCCCTGCGTTCGTCGAGCAGTTCCAATTTGACTAACATTGCTTCGTTGTTCGATTCTTCATTTGCCTGGAAATATCTCAAGGTGGGTTCCCCTACTTCCACCGGGATTAAAGCTTCTGCACCGTACACGAGGGAAAAAGGCATTTCCCATGTGCTCGACTTAGCCGTAGTTCGGTATGCCCATAGAACTCCGGGTAATTCCTCAGGCCAGTTACCCTTATCCTCTTCCAACCTTTCTTGAGGTTTTGAATAATCACTTTGTTCGTCGACTCCGCTTGACCGTTTGAGCTCGGATGATAGGGTGAAGATGTGATCATCTTTATTTTTAAATCTTGGAGGAACTTTGTAATTTTTGCGTTGATAAACTCTGGCCCATTGTCGCATGCTATCTCTTTTGGTATTTCGAACCTGCAAAATTATATTTTCCCACAAGAAATCTACCAATTCGCATTCTCCGATCTTCTGATAAGGACCTGCTTCCACCCAGTTAGAAAAGGAGTTAGTCAAATTTAAAAGAAATCTTACCTTTCCGGGATTTGGCGGAAGTGGTATGACGATGTCCATCCCCCATTTTATGCCACGGAGACAGAACCGAATGTAAGGGTTATACCGGTTGATGCACCAGTGGTGACTAGCGTTAACACTTATCACATTTTCTTACGAAGTCTTTGGCGTCTTGCTCCATGCGAGGCCATTAATATCTTGCCCTTACCAACTTTAACACTAAGGAATCTGCGCATGCGTGTTTGCCGCATATCCCTTCGTGAACCTCTCTCATGACATAGTTAGCTTTGAATGCCCCTAAGCATCGGGCCAGCGGGCCTTGAAAAGATTTTCTATACAATTGGCCACCCTTGAAGCTATATAGCACCCGGGATATTTTGGGGTTTTCTGTTAGATTCCCATGTTCGAGATAATCGATAATTTCATTCCTCCAGTCCCAGACCAGATTAGTTGAATTTACCTCGTAGTAACCATATGTATTCAGGACTGAGTTCATCAGTTATACTACCGTCCTGGACTCTGATCCCTTTATTTATGTTGATGATTATAGGTTTGCCAATGCATCTACTTCTATGTTTTCTTCCCTTGGGATATGAGTAATTGGCATCTCGTAGACCTGATTTACCAATAGCTGTGAGTCGCATTTGATTTCGATGACTCAGAGTCAAGTCCTCAGGCTAATTCGAGCCATACAATCAAAGCTTCATACTCTGCTTCACTGTTAGTTAAATGGACCGTCCTGATGGCTTGCCTTAGGGTTTCCCCCGAAGGCGTAATTAAGACTATACCGAGCCCAGACCCTTTTGCGTTGGAACCTCCATCTGTAAATAAGGTCCAAACCTCTGATGTTGATTCCGGCACCATTACTACTTCCTTGGTTGCCAAAGGCAATAATCCCGGATTGAAATCGGCCACAAAGTCAGCCAAGACTTGCAACTTAATTGCAGTTCTTGGTTTATAATCTATGTCGAATTCACTCATTTCAATGGCCCATTTAGCCAATCTACCCGAGAGCTCGGGTTTGTGGAGGATGTTCCGCAAAGGGAAAGTAGACACCACGACTATCAGGTGGCATTGGAAGTAGGGCCTCAGCTTCCGAGCGACGACTACGAGAGCTAAGGCCAGTTTTTCCAAATGTGGGTAACGAGTTTCTGTTCCCGTCAAAATTTTACTAACATAATAAATGGGAGATTGCGTACCTTCATCATCTCGAACTAAAATCGTACTTACCGCAACTTCAGATCGCGAGATAAACCAGCAATGTTTCACCTTTTTTTGGTTTTGAATGCAATAGAGGGCTTGACAAGTACTTCTTTAAATCCCTTAAAGGCTGCTGGCACTCCGGGGTCCATTTGAAATAATTTTTATTTTTGAGTAGTGCGAAGAAACGATAACACTTTTTTGATGACCAGGAAATGAACATGCTCAATGCTGCCAATCTCCCCGTAAGCCTTTGGACTTCCTTCACGTTTGATAGTTGGTCCGGGATATCTTCTATATAAACTTCCATAGTTTTTACAATTTGATTTTCGAACATCTTGTTCACGAGCCATTGATAAGTGGCTTCGGTGTTTTTCAACCCGAAGGGCATCACATTGTAACAATATATACCAAAATTTGTTATAAACAAAGTCTTTTCCTGATCCTCCTGGTTTATCTTAATTTGGTTGTACCCGGAATAAGCATCAAGGAAACTCATTAACTCATGCCCGACCGTGGCATCAATCATTCGATCAATGTTTGGCAGTGGGAACGAGTCTTTCGGGCACGCCTTGTTAAGATCTTTATAATCTACACACATGCGAAACTTATTGTTTTTCTTAGGAACTACTTTACATTAGCTAGCCAGTCTGGATATCTTACCTCTCAGATCAAATCGATATTAAGTAAGCGGGTTACCTCTTCTTTGACGAATTTATTCCTGGCTTCGGCAATCAGGCGCTTCTTTTGTCTTACCAGAGGTATATTGGGGTCCAAGCTTAACTTGTGTACGACTATCTCTGTCGGGATGCCTGTCATATCTTCATGTGACCATGCAAAACAATCGGCGTTAGATTTAAGGAATTTAATGAAGTCAGACCTGAGTTCTAGGTGCAGTCCTATCCCAAAGTGGAATTTCCTTTCTAGGAATTCTTCTAACAATGCCACTTGCTCCAACTCTTCCGTTGTGGACTTCGTTGCATCAGTCTCTTCTGAATCTTGGAAATATATCTGCACCGGATAATATTCCTACGCCTGGCTAACTTCATCTAGTTCAGGAGTAGGTGCTGGTCCCTGTAATTGCTATGCCACATGTTCCTTTCCTTTGATACTAGAGACCGAAATTGCATTCATCTCCCTTGCCGCCGGTTGGTCATCCCTTATCTGCTTAATTTCTTCGGGCATTGGAAACTTCAGCAATTGATGATATGTTGATGGTACAACTTTTATCTCGTGCAACCATTGCCTTCACATAATGATGTTGTATCACACCATCTACTACTTCGAAAAGAGTTGTTTTCATTACTCCTTCAGCGTTCATGAGTAATACAATTTCTCCCAAGTTGTCACACGTGCGAGGTTGAATCCGGCGAGGAGCTTTGTGGACGGAATAATGCTTCCGGTGAGTTTAGCTTGCTCCAATACTCTCCATTGTATGCTATTAGCTGAACTCTTTGGATCCACTAGAACACGTTTAATCTTAAAATCTAGCATATTTAAAGAAATTACCAGTGCGCCATTGTGTGGTAGCAGCAATCCGTCTGCGTCCTCCTCCGTAAAAGTGATATCGCCTTCGCGAAGCCTTTTGCTATGCGTTATTGATACTTTCGTCTTCTTTGTTGCTGAAAAGGTGACCTTGTTAATCTCATTCCCTCCGAAGATCGTGTTGATTGTTTGATGCGGGGGATCTTCTCCTGCTTTTGAGGGTTCCTCATTGTCTCGGTTATGAACATAATTGCTCTTAGCTCAGTCACACAAGAATTCTCTAAGGTGACTATTCTTCTATAATGTTGCCACCTCTTCCCGGAGGTGTTGATAGTCCCATGTCCGGTGGCCATTCATTCCATGGTATTTACACCACAAGTTGGGATCCCTCTGGCGGGAATCAGATCTCATCGATTTTGGGAATCGTGCTTCTTTGATGTTTCTCATGGCCGATACCAACTCCATTATACTGACGTTGAAGTTGTATTTCGACAGCTTGGGGTAACAAGGATCGTGCGATCCTGACACTTCTTTATCCTGCAGTGATCGATTATTCTGATCGCGATCAATCCTCCTGTTAACAGCGAACCAGTCCGTTGTTTGGAAACCTCTGATGCGGCCTGCGGTCCGTTCGTAGGGCAAACATCGACCCCTCAAAGTCCGTCTATCCGCATTATAATCATCCTTTGATTTTTCTCTATTATTTTCTCGTCCTTTGGTCGACGATGGAAAACCAACCTGACCATCTTCGATCCTTATTTTTGATTTGTACCGGTTGTTGACATCCGCCCAGGTCGTTGCTTGAAACTCGAGTAGGCTTTTCTTCAATTTCTGGGAAGTGTTTGAACTCCTCGGATTCAATCCCTTGGTGAATGCTTCAGCCACCTATTCATCAGGGACAGCCGGGAGAAATATTCTCTCCTTCTGGAATCGGATAACGAACTCTCGTAGCGATTTAGACTCTCCTTGCGCAATCCTAAATATGTCGGCCTTTTGAGCATGTACTTTTCTAGCTCCAGAATGATCCTTGATGAAAGAATCCGTGAGCATTTCAAATGAGTCTATGGAATTCTCGGGTAACAACGAATACCACGTCAAGGCCCCCCCCGTGAGGGTTTCTCCAAAAATTTTCAGCAACATAGATTCAATTAAAAAAGTTTCTGTTGGTCCTAGGAATGGAATTTCTTTTTGGCTACTCCTCACCTTATATCATGTAAAGATTGCTGCCTCGGATATGGATTCAAATTTGTGGGTTTGGCTCTGTTGTTGAAAGCTTCTTTGTCAAGTTGTAGTAAAGTTTGTTATACAACCAATCAAGTTCTTTACTGTGTCTGAGAAAGTCGCAATCTTTGATCCATTTCAACATCTTTTTCACTTGTGTTTGGGGCAGTGATCGACATTTCCAGTTAATGTCATGTCATGCTAAGAACAAGAAGGTGGATGTGCCTTTAATCTCTGTATTAGTTACTCTACTTTTACCTCAAGTTATTGATTTTTGTTGCAGTTAACTTTTGGCAAATTCAATGAGAATCAAAAAGAGATCCGGAAAGTGGATGCTATCCACCATCACAATGAACTGAAGGTGTTAGAGATGCATGGATGTGTTGGTAATTGGTATGAAATTGAGTTTCAGTTGTTAATACTGAGTATTGCAAAGGGATTGGAGCGATTAATTATCAGTAATTCAACAAGCATATACGCTGGAGATGAAAAATGGGTCGATCTTCCTAGGGAAGAGGAAGATTGTAATCAAGAGATGGTCCAGAAGCAACTCCAGGGTCACGTTCCTCAAGGTGTTGAGTTAGTGTTTCTCTAGTCTAATCAGCCATGGTTTTCAAGTTATTGGTTTTAGTTTTACAAATATATATGAGTTAATGGAGGAATAGTACGTCATGGGTAATTTAGAGTTCATTACTTGGATATGAGAATTCCTCAATAGTTAATTCTCCTTCTCTTCCGCTTTAATTGATATTTTTTTGCCCTTTTTTTATGATCCACTATTTCAAATATCAAGGAGTTAACATCTTTTTTCCAAAGTTGTCCTTGGAGTAAAGAGTCTAGAAGTATTTGTTATATTTTCAATGAACAAATTAAGGTTAATATGGTTAATTTTATTATTAATTAATACTAAAAGATGAGTTCCTTAATATGTGTACCGAAAACAGCCAAAAAATCAATTAGAGTAAACCGAAGGGAGTGAAGAAATATTGTATTTTGTGCAGAAAAACAGACTAATCAATGGCTAGTTTGATTGTGAGGCAATGTTAAATCATATTATCCTCACATACAAATGAAACACAAAACAGATGCTCCATATAGCAAATGGGATTAAGACTCCAAAGCAGTTTGTAATTACAAGCGTTTTGAGGGGGTTATGTTATGGCATGATATTATCTGTAATAGAGCTACGCCTAAATACACTTCAATTGCTATTGCAGCCTATCGCTGAACTACTATTGCTATTATTCATATACAAAAATGATAAAAATGTATATTTTTTATATATATTTTGTATAGATATGTATTTTGTATGTTATATACAAAAATTATATAAATTTTATATATATTTTAGATTACCGAATTTAATTAATTTTTTGTACGGGCTAAAAGTGAAAAAGCCCTGTTCATATTCATTAATACATACGAAAAAAATTGGTAAATTGTTTCACTTTTAAAAGTTCTTAACATTAATATGTTGGTAGTAATTAAACTCAATTTCTTGGGTTGGTTAGATGAGAATAAAGGTAATAGGTTAAATAGATTTTATTATTAAAATTTTAAAAGTTAAATATGTAGTTTTTATTTTCTAAGTCAAAAGGCAATTGTTGGGTCAATTTATTGTCCTGAAATAAACAAAAGTGACTTTGGTAGGATATTTTTATAAGTTGGTTAATCATTCAATGAATTAACATTTAACTCTACCATGGAGGCCCTTAACATTTGGATAATCTTCATACTCGACTTTCATAGTACTGCACATACAACGATATTATAATAAACGATAAACAAAATATGATAGCAAAAATAAATAATAAAGAAAAATCCTTTTTTTATACTCGATGTGGAGGATATTCAAATAAATTAACCAAAAGATTTATCTAAATATGCTAGTGCAAAAGGCATATAAAGGAGAAAAGGAAAAAAAAAACATATTATAATAAACAATAAACTAAATATAATTGCAAAGATAACTAATAAAGAAAAATTCTAATTAAAGTATAAAACAGTATACTTGACGATGGAATATGTTAAAATTCAAAGAAGATAGTGGATCGAAAAAGAAGAAAATAACCATATCTGCAAATCTACGTTAACTCTAAGCGCTTAAGTTTGTGTGAAAGATACAGTATTTGCCATATCAGCTTCAGGTGCTTAATTGACACATTTTTTTATTAAGATTAAGTATTCAGATAAAAAAATCTTGACAACTTTAGAAGGCTACATACGTATTTCAGGTTAGTAATTTTGTGTTGGGAGTTAGGGCAAACTAATCAGGATTCAATTTTCAAATCCACCTTACTTTGTGCTTAGCTTCGGCTCATTCTTCAATCTTTTATGTTAATAATTTTACTTATTATAGAATTCTTTTTTGGAAAATTCCCAGAGAAATTTTTAATTATATTATATTTCAGCTGATTTAATATAGTAATAACTTAACAATGGCATTCGATAGGGCTAATTCTTCAAATTCTGTTCCCTATTTTTAAGGGATCATTAATAACCAGAGGCAACACCTATGTAATATTCCCCTTGCTCTCTCCTCCCCCTAAATAGCAATAAATTTAGAAATAAATAAAAAGAATATTAACTCTTCTAGGCTTGAGTCACTATTTTATATGGTTTAAAAGTGTATTTCAAGTAAATAGTATTTTTTATATTCATAAATCTTCTGGTTTCACAATTTTTTGTCCAAATAAAGTCATTATATAAACAGCATTTCAACTTTCAAAACTTTTTAATTATTTTTCAACTTCAATTATTATTATTTTCAACTCAACTCGAATACTTCACAACGTCAATTATATTTAATGCCAATTTTTTTTTCCCGCATCATTTAATGCCTACTTTTAAGATGGTGTTATTTCATGTCAATTTTTGAATTGCGAACCTCCCACCGTATCCTCTCCGTAGAGTTGTAGACAGACTCTGCTAATAAAGATTGCCCAGTGAATGAATGTGATGACCTGATTTTCAGTTATTTCCCCAAACCCAAATTCAGATTGTTTATACATTGACCAGATATTTAACTCTTTCTTTTCCAGTTTGAGTACTCCACTCTTCACAATTTCTCACCTTTCACCTCATTTGAATCTCTCAGACTAAAGACGTTGCTTGCACGACCTCTGCTTATATTATTATTAAAAAAAGGAGTCAGCAGAGAAAAGGTGGGATTTTTCTATCTTTCTGTTCTTTGTTTAAAGTTTTTTTCTTTTCTTGAGACACTGTTAAGAAACGGAAAAGAGGACCCGATTCCATGGGTTCTGATATGGGTTTGCTAAGAATATTGGTTGCTTTTTGTATGTGTTTTATATAGGAAATATTTTTTCCTTAGGCTTGTAGCTATTTGTTTTTGTCACCTTCGTTCTACATTGTTTTGTGTAATTCTATTCCCAAGTCCCCTCCCTTATTACCTTCTGATTGATAGGAATTCACGAGAGAGAAAAATACACCAGGTATGTACTTAATCTTTTTATTTTTCAACTTCTAATTTAGTTATTTCATCAGTGAAGAAGCAAACTTTTTTTGTTTTCCTTGTTTTTAACGTTTTGGATTACTTGTTGCATGTAATCATGTACTGGTTCTGCTTTAAAATACAAATTATTTAGTCCAAAATAGTTTAGGAATAAGGAGTAAGTACTTGTTATTATAAACATAGAATGATTGCTTGCTTTATTTTCATTTTGTAAGGGTAAGTTTATTCACAGTATAGTACCGAGAAGGTGCAAAGATGTGCGTAAAATATTTGTCTTAAATAGATCTGTTAGCTGGCACAATACGAAAAATATTGTCATGTTTACCACTAGTAATAATAGCGAATTATTGACATATAAAAGGAATGTCCAGTTTACCTTCAACAAATCAGTGCATAGAATCCTCTAACTATTGATGACTCAGAATTATTCCAAATTTTTTGTAACATTCTGAGAATGCATACTAGAAACCTTGAATCTCAAAAGAGCATTTGGTGGTGTGATCTCGTCCTGTTTTTCGACTTTCTCTGCCTGTTTTACAAAAATAATGAAAAGATGCTTTTGGGAGTTTGAAACTCAAAGGATTACTATGAACGGAACTCACTTCATCTGCACTTTAATTATTGCTGCATTTTCATGTCCTTTTTACTACTAATCTATATTCTCATGCTTACAGGGTTTTGGAATTTTTTCGTTGTGCCTGATGATCGAGGATAAGACCAATTTACCAGTGAGCTCAGTACTTCCTGTTAGAAAAGGCTCAGCTGGAAGAAAACCAGATAATATCAGCAGAGGGAAATCAAGAGTTTCGACTAACGAGCACAGAGTTCTTTCCTGCTATCGCAACCCTTTTATGCATTCATCTAATAATGGAAGTATTTCGACTGGAACTGTAGAGAAAGGTCAAGATATTCTCCCTCATTATCTGAGGGCTTCAGCTGGTTCTTGCCACGACTTGTGTAAATATGGAAGGAAACATTCTTTTGAAGAAGAGTCAAAGTATCCTCTATCAAAAAGAACTAACAAACCACCTGCCGATGAGCCAATAAAACTTACATTAATGGTGAAACGACCATCTTTGCCTAGGACTCTAGAAAGCGTTGTTGCAAGAAGCAGGAGAAATAGTGATGTTAGTCTTAGAAAAGAAAAGATGGTACCAAAAGCATCTGCAATTAAGTCTTTGAAGTCCCAAGCTGGTTTATCGGCTCCTCTGAAGAACCCAAACAAGATACAGAAAGATGGAACCGATAAATTGAATGCTGAAAAGGTATCATCTAAGAAAACCATGCATTTGGAAACTGAGAAAAATCTTTTAGAGCCTGAACAGGATGGTAACATCATGTTGTCACTTCAACAGCCATCAATTTCATTTCCCGAATCATACTTTCCTTTGTTATCTAATGATGAAGAAAAAGAAGAGGAGATTGACTGCTCGGAAGATGTGTACACATCTTGTGAAGCGTTAAACAAAGCTGAAGTAGAAACTGTAGATCAGAAAAAGATCTTTAGCAAGGGCAATGCAGGTGTTTCCAAAAGTAATGATCCTTCAGTTGTGAAACTGAAGTTCAAGAGGGGGAAGGTAATTGATGGCAAAGAAAGTTGTAGCAATCCTAACTCAGGAAAAGTTGTTTTGAGACATCAAGATTTGCAGGAGAAGAAAGATGCTCAGGTTTTGCTCAATGATGTGATTGAAGAGACGGCAAGCAAGCTCGTCGAAAGCAAGAAGAGCAAGGTTAAAGCTTTGGTTGGTGCTTTTGAAACCTTAATTTCCCTACAAGAGAATAAGCCTTCTGCACTGACAGTTTCTTGATTAACAAACAGAATTTCTATAAAGCCTGTAGTTACAGATACCTATAGAACTAATTTCAATGGTAATGTATGATAATGAGCTTTTCTGACATGGCTGGGCACTGTTTCTCCAGCTACTGTTTCTGACTAAGTTCTTACCCATTTCTTAACGGGTATTTCGGTATTTTCTTCAAGACTGAATAAAATCCAATGTCTCAGGATGTTCTAGGAAAAGAAAATTGAAGCAAGAGTACCATATGTCTTCTAAATATGTGGTGTTTGAATGTAATATATATCTTCTGAGGTTGGATACTCAGTATAACAAAGTAACACGTATTGACTATGTAAGTCATTTTATCAAGGATCTGTCCATTTTATTTGGAATAGAAGTGCATTGAAGATGACACAGCATGTCAAAAAAATACTTGAAAGCAAATAATTGGAACACATTTGGGATCTCTTTTACTGTTTTTTGCTTGTTCTCTGCTTTCCGTGGCTGTTTACCTTTATTAGATTGTCTCACATTGGTTTGAGAGGATAACTGTTGACTTCTTGTATAGTCTTGAACATTTCTTACTTCATGAATTAGTTGGGTCTGAGTCAGGACTTAGGTTCAAGGTCTATTTTCTTAACCTCTTACTCTCTATAGGCCAGCTTGGTTTTAAGTTCTGCATCTTGTCATCTACTCGCAAAGGCGTTTATATGTTGAACCCCTCTAAGGCTCCTGCGTCCATAAAACTAACAATAAAATCGTTGCAATGTCACTGTTATGGAAACATATAATTCCTCTTTACACATGACGTGTTTTTTACATAAACTATTCATCTCAACTTTATCTCTAATCGGTAAGTTTTTTCGAACACCTAACACCCTCGCCCCCTCCAAGTGAAAAAGGTGAAAAAAGTTTTTTCGAACACCAACTTTATCTCTAATCGATAACGAGTTTGCGTTGCCAGACATCAGATTTCCTAGTTAGAAAATAAAGAAAATAATTGAACGGAAATGAAAGAAAAAGTCAGTAACTAATCTCCCGAAAAAAGGCCAAAATCAATCATAAGCAGCTGTTTATTCTAATCAATCAATCAACATTTCCTTATATTGTTTTAATCAACTGTAAAATACCTTCACGGCTATCATCACTGATAATTGATCAGGAGGAACTTGAGAATCAAAGGTTACATTGAGTAAATCCCACAATTTGATAAGTAATACTAGCTCGAAAATTCATCATGTAGAAGAGAGCAAAAGGTACAGCACTGGAAAAGGTTGAAAAAAAATACTACAACTACACCTCAATCTTAAACAAGTTAAGGTCAGTTATACGAATCTATCACTTTTACATTGAAATACAAAACATTGAAAAAATGAAGTCTCTAAAATAATCACATCCCTCGTGTATGCTAAAAACATGGAACACATAAGCAAAGGTCAGTGAGTGGAAACTTGGTAAAAAGAATTGTGTCTGATCCTATCTAAATATCTCTCAATCATACAAAACGTACCAATATGTATTACCTACGTAGTTCCCCAACTAGGGACTTAAAATTTTCCTATAATCTACAGTCTAAAATGATCGACATGATTTAGTCAAGAAACACAAGGGAAATGTGGGGGTGATGGCAACCAAATTGACAAGAGAAAAAATGAAATTAACTGAAAAGAATCATCTCAAACCTCTAACTGGGCCAAAGGGGCAGCCTTCAAACAGCGTCAACATCCTAGCTTTGCTTATCAGGATGTCCTAATTCATCACTGATAGTAATGGTGCGCATTTTATGCCACGCCCCAGTATAGACCTATGCTACATCCAGCTAAACGGAAATACAATGTACTTTGACCCATCAACAAACTAGGCGACGAATTTTTGTTTTACAGATGGGAAGAATGAATCTCATATCCATGCTAGTGATGCAGGTTCTCTTCGTAGAAGTGCGCAGCACTCCAATACCTGAATATATCCAACCAATTCTGCGAAGTATCAGAATCTCCATCTCAATTGGACTTGAAGTTCCCCACAAATATTCAGCACAACTTGTGCCATTTAAATTTCTTTTGTGTGTGTTGTCCTTGCAGCACAACCAATTAACTACTCCAATATGTGGCAACTCCTAATAAAATCATTGGAGCAATTAACATACTTGGTCCAAAAAGGACGGAGATGCTCAAAGCCTATGTCTAGCCAAGGCTTGGATTGGCCATTGTAATGAATTACAGCAGCCTTCTTCACATTCTCAATGTTGGTCTTATTCTGATAGCCCAAGCCAAGCATGTGCCACGAGGGATCAATTGGATGAACATGACCCTTGAATGCAATCAAAGCAGGAGGCAGCGTTCCAAGTTTCCACATTGTCAAGTTTGACTTCAGATTCTACAATGACCAAAAAGTTTCAGAACGCCAATTAGTAGCACATTTATTTCTGCTTAATAGAAAATTAAGATAATGCCAAGGACTACTTATCACATGATTTCAAGTTGAATCGCAATATATAAGCAGTTCAGATTATTCAACTCTTCTCCGAATAGAAATAATTGATCAATCCTTCGACTATCAATAAGTGGCATGATACAACAAAATTTAGGGACCTAACATCAAATCTACACCAACCCCAGGGGGAATAGAAGGTAAAGCAAAGATTCCATGCCTCACTTTCTATACTTCGTCTATTTAAGAATGGAAATAACAAAAGACAATGAAGACCTCTAGAACCTTTAAACTTCTTAATCACAATATTCGTGATGTCTCAAGCGGGACCAAGATCGTAAAGCTTATCTCATATAACAAGTGACAATGCTGAACTAGGACGTACTTGTGTCTCCTAGATGAACATGTCAATAGAAAAGTTAAACGAGCCACAAAGTGGTCAAGGATTATGGAGATATAAGCAGGAATCCTAGAAGATTTGCAGATGTTGAAAGATTTAAAAGAAGGTAATCTCCAGCTCTTGAAAGATAACAAAAAATAATCTCATAGATTTCAGAAAACTCACTTATTTAAAGATTAGGTTAAAGAATCATGGAGATCTGAGTACCTCTTTAAGCCATGTATGATAAGTATCTCTTATACTTGTCTTTCTCCATGCACGCAAGTCAAAGATATTCATCCCATAAGCCCATGCACACTCGTCGGGGTTCAAATTCTTTGCTATCAGATGATGAGAAAAATTGAAGTAATTTCTGAATCGCTTGGACATCACCCACTTATCTTCACCTTTACAGGTCTCAACAGCTCCATTCACCTTTCCATTCAGGTCAATTTCCCACAAGGGAGATAGGTCACGTTGAATTACGACATCATCATCCAAGAAAACCACTTTGTCAAGATTTGGGAAGAGCTGCAAAATACAACACAAAAATCTCAAACTTGTACTGGAAAGAGAGTGTTCATATCCAGACAATGCAAAAGTTGGAATACAAAAACATGTGAAAGAATAAAGAGCAGAAAAATGGCAAAATGTAAATTTTAAATCCAACCAAAAGCAAGAAGGAGAAAATAGAAGAAAATATTTCTGCATAAAGTGGGATTCTTGCTGAAATGAGAGAACACGGGGCTAACACATTTGTAGTCTTTATGGGACATCTTCAAAATGGCAGAACAAGAAGAATAAAATGAGGAATGAAGAACTGCTAATATACACACTTCACGCTCCAAATTAAGTATTTTAACACCTATTAATGCACAGTAGGGGGTGCAATGGTTTGTTCATTTGGACTAGAAGCTGATATAAGCTTGAAAATTGTGAGCAGATATGTTCCAAGCAGTGGTACATAAGACTCGGCCATTCCATTCTATTGGCATATAAATGGAAAATGATTGTGGAGCTCAAAAATCCGTGCTCTTTAGCAATATGCAAACATACCATTCAGGTAAGGAGTACAAAATTATATAGCCTCTCTGCTCACATGTACATACTGAAAGTTGATTATGTGTACATACTGCTTGTGTATAAATACTACAGCCTACAGAAAGTCTCAACACTTGACTAAATCTAGGTTGAGATTAATAAAGCAAATTCCATAGCAGGCATCTTGCTTAAGCAATAATTTTGCATAATTGGACCGATCATTTGACTCTATATTTATCCTGGTATTTTGTTCCTGAGGGGTAAAGTAAGCCTTTTAGACTTGACAGATTTCCTTCTTTTTTTGGGGGGGATTTTGGATATTGAAAACCACACTCCCCTCCAAACCCCTACCCAGGAGTTCAACAATGGCCCTTCCCCACTTTTACTCCTTTAGTGACTTGAACACCCAACCTTGTACTTACTAGGTTATCCCTCTCTTGACAAGCCTTTTTGACCTGACCATTTCATCCTTCCACAATACAATTTAGAGCATAGAACGCAATTTATGCCATATGACGAAGTGTTACCTCTGGCAAATATATGCGGAGATGATTTAGCAAGGATATGTATTTCGGACTTCTAGCCTGCAATTTTGAGGCAAAAGATCGCGGAGTAATATCACTGAGATTGGCACCTGCAACATGATTTCCATGGTAGTATTTCCGAATCCCATAATGGCTCTCAACTACTTCAAGCACTGGAACGTTTTCTCTTGTCAACCAGTCAAACTGATGAACACCTTTAACTTCCACAATAGCAGGAGAGACAGGATTCAGAGCAAACCATGAATGCATGCCTGCATATGTTTTCTTATCAGTGATGACGTGGAAAACAATTTTTTCAGGCTTTAGAGATGACTGCACGCCAGAATTGACGACAACTGACGCAGCTAGGATGTTATCAGTTGACAGTACAAAATGGTGCAATGAGTTGTCAGAAAGCAAAGGGAGTAGTTCTGGTGAAGGCAACTGTTTGCGTGCATGAGCATTGGTCGAGTATTCATCAGTCAACCGCAGTGAAAGACAGTGAATGCCTTTTGGAACTGCACTTGCAGCAAAGTGTTTATTCATCAACTCTGCAAATTTTGATTCTCTGATCTCCCTTTCAGATCTCTCCATCTGCAAAATAATGAATTCATTCAGATGAAAAGAAAAAAGTAAAGGAAAGTTTAACTAAGGGCTATATACAGATCATCCCAACGTATACACGGAATCCGAATGCATGCACAGGCATTAAAGAAGCACTACTATGTGGTAAATAATACATCAATCCCTGCCCAAAACAAAGTGGCAAGCACAACAATAAAGCCAAATGGAAATGCGAGTTAATATGTCTGAATAAATAGTACACAAAGAAAGAGAGGCCAATTACATGCACATACCATTCCCTTCAGCATCAAAGCAAATTCTTTTGCGCTGTACTTGTTGTTTTTTATTTCAGAAACCAGTTGACTATATGACTCTGGGAGCTTCAAGCCAGCTGGCACTTCCTCCGAGTTCACTTGATTGAGGATCTTAACAAAATCCTTAACAAGCTTCTGCTGGAACAGCAAAAATGATAAAGGCTTGGGTTAGGGAAAGGTATTCCACTTAAAACTTGTCACAAAAAGAAAAAGGTATTCAACTTAAACGCTCAACAGAAGATTGAAAAATTATAACATCAATCCAGCAACAAGAAATGTAGATAGAAGTTTATTTACCCCTGAACCATCAGATCGACCAAGGAGCTTTGGTCCCAATCGTCTGCCTAAACAATCTGAAGATCATGTGAAGGAAATGAAGTTATGGTCTGTCAGTATTTGACTATTTTCTTGCTGAAAATCATAAACAAAATGGAAAAGTAGCACCCTTAGCAGACAATATCTGGAACTGAATTGAGAAAGAAGCAGAAAATACAAGCATCACAGCTAGATTCTTATAACATTTATTTGGAAACAGCAGTTAAAAATATCTCAAAGCAACTGAGTGATATGATATGAACATGTGAACTAAAGAAACTTGTGATTCAAAACAGCACAAACACATAGGAAACAAACAATATTTACTGAAAGCATATGTGTCACATGCAAATAATAGCAGTAAGCATATCTGAAACTGCACTAGATACCAGTAGTGCAAAATACATGATACAACCCTAAGGACCCCCTCTTCTGCCACACAAAAAAAGCGCACAATATTCACTACTTTAACTCATGTTGCTAATAAAAACATTAAGATAATTTCTAATTGAGATGGTAAGCATTTGTAGAATCAAATATAAACAAGTTGAAGATTGCAAAAACTTATTTGAAATTGTTTTAACATCCCTCTTTCCCTTTCTAAGGGGTATTTCTTTTTCTTTGAGAAGGTAACTTTTGTGTATATATAAAATAAACTACACAAAAACGGTGTCGGTGTGGTTACCCGTATTTACAGAGTGGAATACAGGGAAAATTCCTAATCCTTTGTCTTCTCTCAAGGATTCTAAAACATCAAAAATAGACTCAAGATCTTCTAAGGACTCTTGCTTACACCAAAAATAGAAAGAACTAGACACTTCATTTTCAGCTCCGGTATATTACAGCGTTTATCTTCAAAGCACCTTTGATGTATCTCATTTCTAAGGGGTATTTCTTATCAAACTGAAATACTTGGATAGGTAATCAACACAACTTTAGTAAATTAGACGACAGCCAAAAAAACTAAGAAATAAAACAACTCCTAAGGCATTACTGGTGAGAGGGAAATGATGAATGCCTATTGAACTGTAATAAAATCCAGGCTACCTAATAATCAACCAATGCCTCAAGTATACCTCAACCCAAACTAATTGAGATCAAGGATATGAATCATCTAGATATTGTGTTATATTCAAGCCCATTTAATCCTATATTGATGAGTAATTTGCCTTTAAGGCAAATCATGGGTTCTCTAAAAAGAGAAGTTCTCTAAATCCCAAACTTATTCCTATCTATACCTAATGTAGGTGCAACTGAACCCTAATCCCAACTAATTAGTATCTCCCATATGGATCCTTTGCTTTCATTATGTTCTGTTTTTAGCAACTTTTGCGTTGATTCGTAGAGATTATAGCTTTCACAGACAACTTCCCTTCTGGTACTTCAATCACCATAATGTCACGCTTAACTGGTGCATTAGGGCGTCAACACACAAAAAATTACCCAATATTAATAAACTTAAGCTTTGTGCACCGACAGCGTAAATTCAATTAGGTCACAGAGAAGGTAATTGCAGGTAACTTTATTTAAAAAGCATTCATCGTACTGGTAAGTAACCTGATGTAAGAGGTTAAATTACAGTGATGGTGTAAGAATTCATTACACGATCATCGCATATAACTTGAATCCAATGATAATTTGGGAAAAAAGAAACATGAACATTTCCACCTCAATCAACAATTTCCAACAATGAAGAAACACATTATGATCTAAGGACCAATTGGACCGGCAATGAATATTACTAATGGAGAGTTAAAAATATCTAACTAACATTACAATAAAGGAAAATGGAGGGGAAAAAGTGAAGTACCAATTGAGGAGCACTTGTTGACACCTTCAAGAGTAACAAGAGCAGTAAGAATGAAGACAAAAGGCAACAAGAAAGCTAGGATTAATATGGTGCGAAAGAGCGTCCGATAAGAGAATTGGCGAGCTGCGAGTTTGATCTTCATCAAATCACCACCACCTACACATCCTCCATTACTATTCGATATTGTTATACTTCTCATGCTAGGTGAGAAGTGCAGCTGCATCTTAATAGTCCTAAGAAAAATTACCTGAAAAACAAAAAACAAAGTGCACATTGAATTTAAACTGACTAATTGCATTTAATAGGTAAAAGGATATTAACAAAAGCACATACTCTATGAAAGGCACTAGGTCAGATCCACCAAAACAACAATTTTGAGACCAATGCATTGGGTGCTCACGCTTTCGCCCAAAACCCAAAAGCGAGCTGCACCTTTTGTATAAATGGAAATGTCTAGAACTTTCTGTATCAGTTTCTATCTAAATACACACATAAATGGCAAATGTGTGTGCAATGAATTGAACGGAAATTTTTATCTATGTATGTGTATGAATGTGTGGATTAATCAAAACAGAATGAATTGAGTATTTGAATCGGTTGAATAAAAACCCGAGCAAAATCCGAGGTGGGAATTTTTTTTCTGCCGCATATGCTAATTTAACTCCCTGAGATCAGAAGAAGGAATAGAGAGAGAGAAAGTTTAAAGAAGGGGAGAGAGTAATTGCCTATTTTTGTGTTATTCTGTGTTTTTTCTAATTTTGATCGATAATTCCTTCTCTATTTTAGGAAGAAAAAAGAAAGAGAAAAAAGGTGTCAGAATAAATATAAAAATGGAAATGTGTAATAACAGAAAATGAAATGGAATGTGTAATATTTTTCTAGTCAAAGCATGTGGGCATATGGAAGCTGCCAAGCTAAAATAAAAGAGCTGTCCTTAAGTCCTAAAATTATGGTAAAGACTGTTCAAGAATATCTTAAAATATCATTTCAAATTTAAAAATAGACGTAAACTTCGTACAGTTATAATCTTGTAGCACATTCTTTTTTATTTTTAAAATAAGTTCTACACTTACCTACTAAAAAGATTTGGTAGTTTAAATTTTCAAAGTGTGTTAAATATTTATCGATAAGTTTGTAATGCTCTGACTCAATTAACTTTATCTTGTTTGTTCCTCTGCCGCAAATATCGTTTTGTTTCAAATAAAGAAAACAATTATTAATATCCAAGGAAATAAATTAGTTTTCTATTTAATTTGATTTTATTTACATGTTCAGCGATGTCAATGACAAGTATATATTTATATCTTTTAGAAGTAAAATATTAATTCAAACCGAAGCACAAGCGTTTTTATTGATTAAAACGATAGGACGATGATGAAAAAATAATGATAAATATAATGTAAAAGTTATAGGTTCTAATCTTCGTACTTGGAATAACATCATTATGTGTAGAAGAAAAAATATAATATTTAATTTGTTTTGTAATCCATCTATTCATGTAGAAAGTAAAATAAAAAAATGAACATCTCCTAAATTAAACATATTTTAAGATCAATTCATCAGAAAATCTACTTTGATCTTTTATTTTTCTAATTGCGTTAATGATTGTCATCTCAAGAAGAATTAATCGTGTAAGACACGATTCATTAGTCATTAATTAACAGTATTAGCAATTTCATTAACTTGCTGTCGGCAATCGGCCTGTCAATAATCATGCAAAGCGCTATTTTGCAGACATATTTGAGAGTTGAAAGTTGAAACTCAAAACCAAAGAGGTCCTTTTTTTCTTTAACTTTTTTTTGGCTCGATGTGGATTTTAAGTCATTATTTTGATGATTTTAACTTCTATCACAGACAATGTAAACTTTTTTATTCAATATCATGTCATCAAAAATAGAAATACAGATTATTATCCATGAAAGTGAAAATAATAAGTAAAACAAGGCATGTTTCTATTAGGTCAAGTTTATGAATAGTGTTAGTGTAAAAATTCTACTGCCGATCCTCGTTTATAAGTTAAATCCTATTTTAAAATATATTGGTAACACAACTAATTAATTTTAATTTAACTAATATATAATTACAATAAAAAATATCAAACTTAAAAAGCAATTTCAAGTAACTTTCTATGAAAATCATTAATTGATAATATGCAAAAGATGAGAAGTGAATTTATCACGTCTCAAAGGAATATATCAATTGTGTAAAAAAAATTACTACACTGTAATTGCATATCGTTATATCTTCCGGGTGCAACAATTGCCACATTTCTCTTCCGGAAAAGACTTTGTGCATTCATTACTATTGACTTGGCAATTCAGTGACCGACAGAAATTTTAACCTAAGGTGGTGAGTACTATTAGACTTTACTTTTTGTGAAATGTATGAGATAGGGATAGTCAAATGAGCTCTCAGAAAGGTACATGATTTCCAGAAACTTTTTTGCTGCCTTAACCTCGTCCATTTGATCTCTTCCAAAATTTATTATAGCCAAATCTCTATAACAATTAACAATCATGTTTGTTTGGAAATTCTATAACATCTATATTTATTCCGAATTTTTTTTGCTGCTATAATAAAGTGTTGTTAAAGGGAACTTATTTTATAACATAACATAACATGAAAAATTAGTTCCAAAGCAAACTTGACTATTACAGTGAAGTTTTGTTATAAAGAATGACTGATATAAAGAGGTCTAATTGTATCACAAACAACTACGTACTCCATGGAAAGATACAAAACCCCTGTGTTGATCATACCAACTATGTACTATATATCTGCTGTATAATCTGACCAAGGTAGGAAGCAAACTAGGTCATGAATGGAGACAGCTACGAAACGAGGAACTTGAACAAGGGAATTCAAAAAATATACAAGAAACTTTAAGGTTGCTTTATTATCATGTTACTAATTCCACTTATAATTGGTAGTTATCTTTAATTATCGGTTTCACCCAATCAACTAAGCAAAATCACTATGTTGTGGGATTTCATTGGGTTTGTTGTTGTCGTTGTTGCTATGCAATCGTACCTGATGCAGGTGCTGACCGCTGTGTGAACTGCTGGGAAGGCTTTGGAGGTTTGGAACACTTAGATTACATCAATAGTCTTGTTTATCCACACAAAAAACCACTTCTCTATGAACTGATAGCTGGAAAAAACTTGGTCTTGATGTTCTGGCTTAATCAGCTCCAATTTCAAAATTAGTGTCCACTTATTTTGAGTTTTTTATAAACCTGACACGATCCCTTGTGGTTTCAGGAAATCCATTGGCTTAAAGGCAAGGAATTATTATCAAACATATTACATATGATGTCATTTACAGTGACTAGCTAGTTATAATATCCATAAGAAACCTGAACAAGGAAACATGAATGAACGCCATCTCCTCTAAATTTCCTTCAAAATTCCCATTCTAATTTACAGGAACTACTCCAGCTCCAGATGCTTGCTTTTTCATGTTAGCTATATGCTTTTTACCAGCGAGATGAACTTTGAAAACAGTCTCACTGTTGCAAACCACGTTACACACAAGACAAACACGGACCTCATTTGTGGCTGCTCCTTCTTCCAAGACTTTTCGTCTCTTGGTCTCCAAATTCTCCACCATCTCAGCTGCCTTCTTCGCTGCATCTTGCCCATTTCCTAAATTCACCTTGTCAGGCTTCTCTTGTGGTCCAATAAATGTGTTAACTGACACCTCAGAAGGAGCAAGAGAGGCAGCAGCAGGGGTAAACTTCTCTTGCTTTGACATGTTAGCAATGTGCTTTTTACCAGCGAGATGAATGCTGAAAACGGTCTCACTGTTGCAAACCACATTGCAAGCGAGACAAGTGCGAACCTCGTTTGTGGCTGCTCCTCCTTCCAAAACTTTTCGTCTTTTGGTCTCCAAATTCTCCACCAGTTCAACTGTCTTCTTCCCTGCATCTTGTCCGTTCACTGATTTCACTTTGCCAGGAGTCTCTTGCAGTCCAACAAATGGGTTAACTGACACCTCAGAAGCAACAAAAGGGGCGAAGGCAGGAGTTGCGACAACACTGCCTCCTCTTAATTTGTCCAAACTTCTTGTGTGTCTTTTCCCTAATTTATGTTGGTCAAGAACAGTTTTGCTGTTAAATTCAAGTTTGCAAACCTCACACCATACAGGCTGTATCTTACTTTTCTTGTGGCCACTTTTCCAAGACCCACTACTCTGAGGCTGGATAAAAATGTTGGAATTTACATTTGCAGGAGTCGATTTCTTTCCACCATTTAGAGACAATGCAGCCACCTGTAGATAAAGTACTCAAGTGACAATCTTTTAAATAATGAGAGTACTTATAGACATTTCTAGAATACTGAAACTATTTAAACATATATGATATAAGACGAAGCAAGAAAATAAAGGAGACAGAACGCTGTGGATGAGAAAAATATTTACAGCAGGAAATGAACGACCTTCAAGTGAGATGTCAATCCCATGAAAGATTATCATCTAAGACAACCATATGGATGAAACACTTGGTCAGTCATTTTATAAGATCATTGCAGAACAGAAACAGATGAGGTAGATGTAATTAACGGGATCCAGCCTTGGCCCTTGAATGATGACAGGTGCATCACTTATCATCAAACATCTAAATTTAAGAGCACTAGTAAGCATCTAACCATGAACAACCAAACTATTATTGATAATTTCTGAAAAAGAAAACAAACTAGCAAAGGATCAACACCATCATGGACTGCCTCAATCAGGAAAACCGACCTTAAATATGTCAATTGATCCAAGATAAAATACTTCTATTGCCTTTGACATTATGGTCAATGAACCTCGGTCTCGACATGTATAAATCTAATCAAATTCCACAGCAAGTTCCCCTTTCCTTGTTTTCCCCCTTTCTAATCACTGTTTAGTTGTATATATATAGAGAGAGAGTATTGGATGTAACACAGATGGCACCACCTTGGCGGTAAGAAAAATTCCTTAATTTACCATTTGGTTTACTGCATGTGACAGAAATAGTTTTGTAACACTCACGATAGAAGTTAAACGTTTGGTGCAAATCAAACAAATATAAGAGCTTAACCGAGACTTATGGATGATTTATGACTTACTTGGGATAAAAGTTATATAAACTGAGACAGTTTGGATAGTTTTAAAGTAGCCTTTGTATCATCCGCCCTTCACTGTTTCACTTTCTTATTTTTTACTTATCATCCGAAATCTTTTCTTTAAACCTTCTCGAATTTCCACCAAAATCAACTCTACAAAATAGGGACGTTTCTTCATCACAATACCTCTACCACCAGTACTCTTCTATAGGAATTAGAAGGTAAAGGGAGAAAGGACATATTTGGTAATTATTGAAAGAAACCAAAACCTTATACTCCCTCCATAATTAGAAGGAAACATGAGAAAGGAAACAGATGGTAACTGCCGAAGGACACCAAAATCATATACTCCCTCCATTCCAATATTTTTTTTTTAACAGAGAAATCCCGAGCACTAGAGGTAGATCCAGAATTTGAAGTTTATAAGTTCCTGCAATGACCTCAGGTTAATATGCAATAATAGTTGGGTTTACAGACAAATATTTATAGATTTCTGTTAATTTTTTAATGCATATACAAGGTATGGACAGAAGTTACTGAGTTTCCATGAACTCATGCATTATACTCTGGATCCGCCAATGTCGAGGGCCTGTGGTGCACAGTTCAAAACTCAGTAGAAATGGACTCATCCCTCTATCTTTCTCCACTCAAGACTTTCATCTGTGGTAGGATTCGAACCCATGACATGCGCCTAACCCACTCATCATGTATTGCGCTCTTACCAATTTATATAACATACTTCCCATTTTGGGGCTTCCACCAAATGTTTAGTAGCATATTATTTTACACAACGTTAAACAATAGACTAAATTCAAATTATACTATATTAGCAGCGGCTCCCACCAAAACGGCACGAACTATGAGATAATGTCCACCAAGACTTAGGAAGACTAGAGGAATTCACTTATGATGGCTATACCAGATTGGAACCTTTGTTCCCAAGGTTGTTACTCCAACCGGTCCATTTAACTATTTATATCTTAAAACTTTCATATTTTGCCCCATCCATACAATACATGAAACAACTAATACAATACATAAATCAAATTAACATATCATGTAAATGGAACTGAGGAATTAAAATTCAAATTGCTCCAATCCCATGATATTCAAGGATGCCCAATTGATAAAAGATAACTAACAACAGTAGTACTATGACTGACCTCATTAAGCCTGAATTGTTCATTTGCTACCAAATTTTGATAATATACCGCCGTTGCTTCCACAGAGTTAGCAACATTGGCGTGGCCATAACCAAAGACCAAAACCTGTTGCTGGGATTCATGTCCTGAACTAAGTGTATATGAGCTAGGGTTAGGGTTTAGAGGCACAGATTGATGGGCAGGTAAGGAGGTAGATTGGAGAATGGAAGCATAAGGGTTCGTCAGTGATGGAGGGTTAGGGTATAAAGTTGGGTTTGGTTGTATTCCCGTCCATCCATTGTAATTGTAGTCCATTGTAACTTTGTATTCAGCTCCAGGTGATGAGAGGAACAGAGAACTTCATCAATGGCGTTCCCAGTGTCCGGGTAAAAGGATCGGGCTTCAGTTCTGGTTTCGCTTTGGTCTACGGTAAATAGGATCTTTACATAAATAGCCGTTAATATTCGTTATTTACTTTTTCTAGCCATATGTATAATTTATACATTAATTATTCCTAATTCTACATATATAATACATAAATTATATATATATTATACCTTCACCGACTATTTTTAGTATAAACAGTTGGGTGGGCGGCTATTTGGATTAATTTTGGAGATATTTTCACACGTATCCACTTTTTGGGCTACAGTTTAAAATATAACCAATTTTTGCAAGAAATTAAAAATTAGCTACAACTTAAAAGAGCAACAGACCTGCTTCTTCTACTTCGCTTTTTTTTGCGTTTGCTATACTTCTTTTTCTTTGCACAGAAAAGAAATAGAGTGTGCACGTACATGATTATGGAATACTGCTTCTTGTGGCGAATACAAATTTGTATGCATAGAATTAGGGATGGCAATGGGGCGGGGCGAGGTGGGTTTGAACCATTGCGGAGCAGTGCGAGTTTGGGCTTGTGCGGGTGCGTTTGAACCTATGCGGAGCAGTGCGGGTTTGGGCTTGTGCGGGGCGGGGCGGGGCGGGGCGGGNTGGGGGCGGTTGCGGGTTGATGCGGGTCTTGGTATGGGTTTGGCCAAGCTAGAAACATATATTGATAATGCAATCACGCAATAGATTCTGGATTGACAGAAGAGCTTTGATGCTTATAACAATCTAGTGTTGTACCATATAATCTCAATATCATTTGCACGCTTATGCTTAGTATCAACTATTTTTTTGGTAAGTATTAATATCAGCTTCTCGGCTCCTCCTCCTGCTTCTTCACTTGTAAATTTCTGCACATTACCATTTTAGTAGTTGTTACCTCTCAATTCTCATTATTGATATTGATTAACTTTGAGTATCTTAAATTCATCATTTTGGTCATCGGTGATTTTGATTTATGTATTTTATCAATACAACTTGAATTATGAATTATCTTTTGACAAAAAATAAATTTAATAAAATAATTTACAGTTGCGTCCATCTTAAATCCTTAATTGACTCTGACCAAAAAAATCCTTAATTGACATGGAAAATTCCAATCAAAAGATCAAAAAGAAATAAAATTGACTAGAAAAAGAAAACATTTTGCGGGGCAGGGCAGGTGGACACGGATGTGGGTGCGGGACGGGTGGACGCGTGTGAAAATGTTATGTGGGGCGGGGTAGGTTGAAATTTTATTGTCTAAGACAGAACCAGCACTGCACCGCTTACCATCCCTACATAGAATTTTCTTCAATTCGAACGTCAAGAATTTTCCTTGAAGTTCATGCAATTTTCCTTAAAGTTCAAGCAATTTGTTCAAAATTGATAGTTCAAACTTGAGGAAATTTTTCTAACGTTTAATTTGCAAGGACAGAGTTCGAAAAACAGTCACATTTTTAAGTTGTGACTATTTTCGAAATATTTTGCAACAACAATAACAACAATAAACCCAGTGTAATTCTACAAGTGGGGTTTGGGAAGGGTAGTATGTACGCATACCTTACCCTACGTTATGAAAATAGAGAGGTTATTTTCGGAAGACCATCGGCTCAAGGAACAGTAATAAAATTAACAAACAATAGCAACAACAAGGTAATAAGGTAATGGAAGCGAATAGCACACACAACATGTACTAATAATGAATCGGGAATAAGCAAATATAACAATAGGACTAGTTTTACCGACAAGCCTATGATAGACTCGCGACTATCTGTCAACCCTCAACCCTAACACTCGTCCTCTATGCCTTCCTATCGAGGGTCATGTTCTCGGTAAGCTGAAGCAGTGACATATCCTGCTTAATCATCTCAACTCAGTACTTCTTAGGCCTACCCCTACCCTTCCTTAGACCCGCCATGGACAACCTCTCACACCTCCTAACGGGGGCAATTATGTCTCACCTTCTCACATGCCTGAACCATCTCAGCATCGATTCTCGCAACTTGTCCTCCATAGAGGTTGTAAGAAAAATAGTAGATAATATTGACCAAGAATAGAATTAAATTATCGAATAAATACTGTGTCGTGGCAAGCCACTGCCTTGAAAGTGATTTCGGTCCGATTGGGTACAAATCGTTAAGACCGGTCGCTTCCCAAGGTTCCACAGTACTTCCAAATACGTGCACTCATGGCTGGAAGTTTGGAGTTTGCAAAAAAGAAGTGCCCAGGAAAAATAGGAAGAAGAATAATCTTTTGAGAGGATGAGAGAATAATATTTTTGGTTGGTGTTTTAGTCACAAATGATGATGTTTATATAGGCAAATCATTTACGTTTTCTTCCATCAGAAAATCGCAAGAGGCCAAATGTGAGTTAATGTTATGTAACATTTATTTTGGTTTAATGATAAAATTGTCATAAAGACAGTAATTTCAAACATTTTGAAAAGTTGTATCTTTTCACAAACGAAGTCACAAAAGTTAAGAAACTGTCATATGAATGAATGTGAACCATTTATGAAGTAGTAACTTCATTCTCCCACTCTGCATATACATAAAATCTAGAAATGTTACAATAAATTAATGGTGGAGAGGTATGCCAATTAACCACGCATTAATTATATATTAGAAGTGTTCTTTGTTCTTTGCATTATCAAATTAGAGTAATGCCTAAAGAGGAATAATACCAACAATTCTCTACTAATGCAAAGATAAAGAATAAGAATAATTACTGGGCAAAAGGAAGGAACATGTACTTAAGTCTCAATATATTTTGATTTGAATTGACACGTAGTGAAATGAGGCAACGACTAATATCCACAAAGTGAAGTACTCTTGAACTGAATGGACATGAGTTAAGACCCTCAATACACATACTATATTCTTAATTTTATGCAAACTCCGCGATACTAATAAAGTACTTTTATGGTCATGCACACACCTTGGATCTCATGAGTGCTCTAGAAAGGCATCTCAAGTCTTTCATAAAAGGCGACCGCACCTTTACACTCACGTAGGTGATTCCATCAAGTCTATCAATCTATAGACCACCTTAAAGCTATGGAATCATTAAGAGCAAAATAGGGTCAACCTTATAAAGCACTACCACACGTCATAGGGATAGGAAATATAGTGCATATTGAAGTCTCATATTGCTTTGTTTGACCACGAACGAGTATCCACCATACTTCCTCAATCCATGGGCTTTAGCCAAAGCCCCATCCCCCTCGACGTTTCAAGGATAACTCTCCTTGCCAAATCCTTGGTTAAAGAATCCGCCAAATTTCTTTCGGATCTTACATATTCCAAGAAAATAACACTATGTTTTAATAATTATTTCACTGCACCATGTCTAATGCAAATATATCTTCTTTTCCCATTGTACATACTATTCTTGGCAATTCCAATTGCCACTTGTGAGTCACAATGTAAAGACACTGGTGAAGTTTGTCTTCCCCACAAAGGCACGTCTGCCAATAAGTTTCTCAACCATTCAGCTTCTTGCCATGCTAACTCAAGAGCAATAAATTTAGATTCCATGGTCGAACGTGCTATACAAGTCTATTTTGAAGACTTCCACGAAATAATACCTGCACCCAAAGTAAACACATAGTCACTAGTGAAGCTAACTTCATCATTGTCAGTAACCCAATTTGCATCACAAAATCCATCTAAAACAGCAGGAAAATTATTAAAATGCAAACACCAATCAATAGTACCTCTCAAATAGCTTAGCAAGCGATGAAGAGCATTCCAGTGTTCACTAGTGGGGTTGTGAGTATATCTACTTAATCTACTAACAACATAAGCAATATCAAACCGTGTATAATTTACGAGAAATATTACACTACCAATTATCTTAGCATATTCAATTTGAGAAATACTAGATTCTTTATTCTTTCTCAAGTGTATGCTAGGATCATAAGGAGTTCTCACATGAGCTACATTAAAACAATCAAACCTTTTCAACATTTTCTCAATATAATGAGACTGAGACAATGAAAAATCATTAGCAGTTCTTTTGATTTTAATCCCTAAAATTACATCTGCTTCTCCAAGATCTTTCATTTCAAATTTAGAAGACGACAAATTCTTAGTCTCATTTACAATATCCACATTAGGGCCAAAGATTAACATGTCATCCACATACAAACATATAATCACAAAATCTGATCCTACCATCTTGGAATAAACACAAGTATCAGATGCATTAACAACAAATCCATTATCTACTAGTGTGCTATTAAACTTTTTATACCAGGTGCCTGTTTAAGACCATATAGAGACTTTCTCAATTTGCATATTTTATTCTCCTGGCCTTGGATCACAAAACCCTCAGGTTGAGTCATATAGATCTCTTCCTCTAAATCACCATTTAGAAAAGCCGTTTTAACATCCATTTGATGTATCACTAAATTATGAATAGCGGCTAAGGCAACAAGAGTTCTAATAGTTGCTATTTTAGTTACGGGAGAATAAGTATCAAAGTAGTCAATGCCTTTCTTTTGGTTAAAACCCCTAATAATAAGTCTAGCCTTATATTTCTCAATTGTACCATCAGGTCTCAATTTTTTCTTAAATATCCACTTGCTACTTATGGGTTTACAACCTTTAGGCAAAATCAGACAAGTCCCAAGTGTGATTAGAAACTATAGAGTCTAATTCACTTTTGATGGCTTCTTTCTAAAAATTAGCATCTATTGACCTCATTGCTTCATCATAAGTCTTAGAGTCATCTTCTATTAAATAGGTAGACATTAATTCATAATTCAAAAGATCAAGCTCAATATTTTCAGTCAAGAAAGTTGTGATAAAGCCAGGACCAAAGCTAGCTTCAATTCTACTTCACTTAGGACCAAAGCTAGCTTCAATTCTACGTATCTTACTCTTTCTAAGTTCATTTTCATGATCATTAGCAGTAATACTAGAAGAAGGCACAATATGAGAATTAACATATATAGATGTAGAAGTATTATTAGGCACATCAGTGGGAACATTATATTTCAATGGAAAAACATGCTCAAAAAATTCTGCATCTCTAGATTCGCAAATAGAATGATCATTCAAAGATAGAAATCTATATGCAGCACTGTTTTGAGCATAACCAATAAAAGCGGCATCAAAAGTCTTAGGTCCTACAGTTACTTGTTTAAATTCATGTAGACCAACTTTAGCCAAACACCCCCACACTTTTAGAAATTTCAAGTTAGGAGCAAATCCTTTCCATAACTCATAAGAAGTTTTATCTAACTTCTTATGAGGAACTCTATTAAGAACATAACATGCAGATAAGACAGCTTCCCCCCACATCTTGTGAGATAAACCTGAACTCAAAAACATAGAATTCATCATTTCTTTAAGGGTTTAATTTTTTCGTTCAGCTACACCATTTTGTTGGGGAGTATAGGGAACACTAACTTCATGTATAATACCATTTTTCTCACAAAAAGCTTCTAGAGTATTAGTACTATATTCACCACCCCTATCAGACCTAAGTCTCTTGATTTTTCTGTCTAATTGGTTTTCTACTTCTGCTTTGTATTTTAAAAATATGCTTTCAGCCTCATCCTTAGACTTAAGAAGATATACCTTAGTGTATCTTGAAAAGTCATCTATAAAAGTGATGTAGTATTTCTTCTCACCCTTACTAATAGTGTTCTTAAAATCAGCTAAGTTTGAATGCACTAATTCAAGCTATTCTGTCTTTCTACTAGTTACATTTTTAAAAAGTTTTTTGGTATATTTTGCTTCTATACAAATAGGACACTTATAAAAATTATCAACATTAATCGCAAGAATTAATTCCATTTTTCTAAGTCTTTTTATAGAAGCAATATTAATATGACATAGCCTACCATGTCACAAATCAATAGACTCAGCAATATAAGCAGAATTAGAAGTACTTACATTACTAGTAATCTCTTGAACAATGTTCAGTACAAATAAACCTCCATTGAGGTAACCCTTCCCAACAAAGTCTCCTCCACGAGAAATAACAATTTTATTAGATTCAAAAATAAGTTTAAGGCCTGCTTTTTTGAGAAGTGCACCAGAAACTAAGTTTCTACAAATGGAGGGAACGTAAAGAACATTGTTCAAGGCTAAAGCTTTTCCAAAAGTTAACTTAAGAAGAACTTTTCCTTTACCTATAACTCCTACAGTAGTGGAGTTACCCATGTAAACACACTCGCCATCAGTAGACTCCTCAAAGTCATGGAACAATTCCTTATTGGCGCAGAGGTGCCTTGAAGCGCCTGTGTCCAGTATCCAATCAGTCTTGTTAGCCACCATATTTGCCTCAACGATCACAACAGTAATCACATCACCACTTTCAGTAAGGTTAGCTTGGGGTGGAATTTTCCCTCCCTTCTTCGAGCTTTGTCCTTGTCTTTGGTTGCACTGGAAATCCTTGTGAACAATTTTTCCACAGACATAGCAAGGTCCTTTCGACTTTTGGATTTGGCCCTCAGGTTTATTGAAGTAATTCTGCTTCTTTACATATCCTTTCTTCTGGCCTTTCTTCTGTTTTACCTTTAAACCTGTCTTTCACAAAAGTATTCGCAGATTCCACAAGGTTAGCTTTAGAAGAATTAAGAGAGAGAAATTTCATCTTATCCTTAAGTCGTTCTGCCTCCTCATCTTTGAGACAGTTTGCTTCCTCAGTCCTCATATGACTGGTCAATTCTTGAAGAGTTAAATTTTTCTTCGTGTATTTCAGTTGATTCATGTAATCACTCCAGGAAGGTGAAAAATTTTCAAGCAGAACATTAGCTTGAAGAATCTCACACATCTTCATGACTTCGTTCAGAACATCAGCAGTCAAATTCTCATACTCGTGAACCTGCTCCATGATTGGCTTATCATCAACCATCTGAAACTTGATCCACTTTTCAATTACATGCTTCTTTTCCCCCGCATTATCCGCACCATATTTCTTCTCCAAACTGTCCCATATGACTTTAGCAGATTTATAATTTATACACAAATCAAAGAGAGTATTAGTCATATGGTTAAGCAGATGCCCTCGAATAGTTTTATTATCCTTTTCAAATTTCTTTTTAGCAGCATTATCAGCAACAACCGTAGCAGTTATATTAGAACTATCAGCAACATTAGTAGTATTGGAAACAACATCAGCAGGATGTTCGTTAAACAAAACGTAATCCACTTCTAATTGTTCAAAGAAAACTAGAAGTTTGTGGGACCAACACTTATAATTGTTGCCATCTAAAGGCTCAAGCTTTGACAGATCAGGAAGTGTTTTATTCAAAGTGGTAGCCATTAGTCAATATTATATACAAAATCGCTTTCAAATTGTAAGAAAAATAGTAGATAATATTGACCAAGAATAGAATTAAATTATCGAATAAATACTGTGTCGTGGCAAGCCACTGCCTTGAAAGCGATTTAGGTCCGATTGGGTGCAAATCGTTAAGACCGGTCGCTCCCCAAGTCCACAGTACTTCCAAACACGTGCACTCGTGGCTGAAAGTTTGGAGTTTGCAAAAATGAATTGCTTAGGAAAAATAGGAAGAAGAATAGTCTTTTGAGAAGATTAGAGAATAATGTTTTTGGTTGGTGTTTTAGTCACAAATGATGATGTTTATATAGGCAAATCATTTACGTTTTCTTCCATCAGAAAATTGTAAGAGGCCAAATATGAGTTAATGTTATGTAACATTTATTTTGGTTTAATGACAAAATTGTCATAAAGACAGTAACTTCAAACCTTCTGAAAAGTTGTATCTTTTCACAAACGAAGTCACAAAAGTTAAGAAACTGTCATATGAATGAATGTGAACCATTTATGAAGTAGTAACTTCATTCTCCCACTCTGCATATACATAAAATCTAGAAATGTTACAACAAATTAATGGTGGAGAGGTATGACAATTAACCACGGATTAATTATAGATTAGAAGTGTTCTTTGTTCTTTGCATTATCAAATTAGAGTAACGCCTAATGAGGAATAATACCAACAGGGTTCACTCCCACTATGTCCCTAATAACTTCATTCCTAATCTTGTCTTTCCAGGTATGTCCACACATCCATCTCAACATCCTCATTTCAGCTACTTTCATCTTCTGGACATGGGTCTTCTTGACTGGCCAACACTAAGACCCATACAATATAATCGGTCTAACCACTACTCTGTAAAACTTACCTTTAAGCCTTGGTGGCACATTTTTACCAAACAAACCCCGAATGCAAGCTTCCATTTCATCCACCTGCCACTAATACGGTGAGTAACATAGTATTGGCGCGAAAATACGAATAAAAAACAAATAAAACACTGGAGAAGCAATCTATAGCACAAACAAGCACAAATATCGGTTAATTCTATACAATAGCCCTAAAGTGACTACCTTTATAATTTGTCCAATAAATAGACAAAAAAGCCCAAATCTCACCCCACAACAAAAATCTGGGATTGGTGTAAATTTTACTCTCTCTTGCTTTGCCATGAAGACCCTTTAGCGCTAACAGAATGGCGATAATTAGAGAAGGGAAATGGGTCAAATTTGTCCTTGAACTCTACGAAATGGTCCAGATACCCTCATTAATAATTGAGTTCAAAGTTAACCTTGTCGTAACCAAATGGGCTAGATTTGCCCTTATTACTAACGTCATAAGTTTTCCCCCTCGTTGACCAATCTTATAAGAATAAGTGGTTAAAAATTGCCATTTAAGTATGCCATATGGTTTAGATTTGGTGTAGTTCTAGCGCCGGGAACACCTCAATATTTAGAACTTCCAATGACTAGGTCTCTATCTCCCTAGCTCAAATTAACCAACGTCAAGCCTTAAATCAACTCAAATTGAACTCAAATAAAGAACAATTGCACCAAAATTAAATTTTCATCTTTGCTGGAACTCCATCAGACACAATTCCATCACCACCCCCTTCTTAGTTCACCAGAAATGATTTTAGGCTCATCCCTCTCTTTGTGTGAGAACTCAGAGACTGCCAGAGATCTAATGGAAAGAAGCTCTTTGTTTCCAACATCCTTTGTCTATAAAGAGCAAAGCTTTGAATCAGTGCATTTCCTGGAATTATGTCTGAAGCCATAATGGAGTGGCGCACACATCATTACCAAGATTTATGATGATATTCGCGGCCTTTTCTTGAATTGTACTTCTCTCAATTTCCTGGAATTCTGCAACTACAATGACCAGCAACTTTCTGCCATGAACCCTTTTTTCTTTGCTGCTGAATCCATAATCTTCTTTTCATGATTCACAACTGACATTTTTCGTACAAAAAAGTTAATGATGTTATTATAATCCTTTCTATACAAAAGACAATCAACATGTATTTTTCATTCTCAGATACCTTTTAGTGCGATACCAATCTTCCAGTCAAGAAAGTTCAATGTTTCTTGCTCTATACTTGGTTTTTGTGTGACAAAGACAACAACATACCCCTCTTTTTGGACATAAGCAAGTTTCTATTATGAAACTTTTCTTGATGATAAATTTATTTTGGCTTATGTAAATATTCTGGGAAGTACGACAATATAATTCCAATAATTATATAGTTTCTGATCTGTCTACATCATTAACTTTTTGAGAGTCCGGAGACATTTGTTGAGTGAATGTGAATTATTATACTCCCTCCGTTTCAATTTATGTGAATCTATTTGACTGGGCACGTAGTTTAAGAAAAGAGAGAAGACTTTTGAACTTGTGGTGTAAAATGAATCACATATATTTTGTGTGGCTATAAATCATTGCGTAAAGGTAAAATTGTTACCAAATAAGAAAAGAGGTCATTCATTTTGGCACGGACTAAAAAGTAAATAGGTTCACATAAATTAAAACGGAAAGAGTATATTTATGCACATCACCCCGGCTCAGATGAAATATGTCACACGAGAGGGACACCAAATTCATACCCATTCCACGAAAAAAACACAGTGGTGCAAAACTTAATAACCTTTATGAATCGAACAAGCAAATCCTCTGACAAGACAAGTGATAGAAATGGTATCATCAAATCAAATACAAAAGAAACATTGAACAGCGCACTGGCGGATCTGGTAGTGACAATGATGGTCCCTCAGCCTACATGGGATAAAACAAAACAGAAACTGAACGTGGTAAAAAAAGAATATAGTAAGAATCCCAGCTGACTGCCTCATATAACTAATATATTTGATATCCGAACAAAGCCACTCGAGCCAAGTTATGCAATTAAGCGACAGCAGGCATGTCCTTGAGCCAGGCATCCAGCGGCTTACCAATTGAGTAGACTATAAACCCGATCTCTCTAAGCTTCTCCAAGTCCACAACGTTCCTACCATCAAAAATAAAAGCGGGTTTTTGCATGTTGTCATATATCTTCTGATAATCAAGAGTCTTAAATTCATCCCACTCTGTAAGGATGCAGACAGCATGGGCATCCTTTGTTGCTGTGTAGGCATCCCAAACAACGCTGACTTGTTTCACGGTTGTTGGACTCATTGGCTGAAGGTGAAGAGGATGATCCCAATCAAACTTGTTCATCGAGAGGTCTCTCTGAATTTGGTCCTCATTCACCTGAGGGTCATATATGCTCAACTTAGCCTTGTCCCCCAACAGTCCCTTGCAAACATCAATTGCAGGGGTCTCTCGAGTATCACCAGTATCCTTCTTGAAAGCAAAACCTAGAACGGCAACTTTTTTGCCTGATACTGTGTTGAACATGGAGGCAACCACGCGGTTGACAAAACGAGTTTTCTGATAGTCATTGATCTTGATAACCTGTTTCCAGTATTCAGCCACCTCTGGAAGACCATTGCACTCACAAATGTAAACCAGATTCAGAATATCCTTCTGGAAGCAAGAGCCACCAAAACCAACACTAGCATTAAGGAACTTGGGACCAATCCTCGAGTCCTTTCCAACAGCATATGCCACCTGTGAGACATTTGCTCCAGTAGCCTCACAAAGAGCCGACATGGCATTCACAGAAGAGATTCTTTGTGCCAAAAATGCATTGGCAGCCAATTTTGAGAGCTCAGCAGACCACAAATTGGTGGTGAGGATGCGGTCTTCAGGGACCCATTGGGCATACACATCCTTCAATGCTTGGATAGCCTTCTGACCACCTGGAGTTTCCCGACCTCCGATCAGGACCCTGTCAGGTTTGAAAAGGTCTTCGATTGCGGTCCCTTCTGCAAGAAACTCAGGGTTTGAGAGGATCTGGAAGTTAATGCCCTTGCTGTTGTGGGTCAAAATCTTTTCGATTGCCTCGGCAGTTTTAACTGGAACAGTTGATTTCTCAACAACTATCTTGTCAGATTTTGAAACATCTGCTATCATGCGAGCAGCACTCTCCCAATAAGTTAAATCTGCAGCCTTGCCTGCACCAAGACCCCTTGTCTTGGTAGGAGTGTTCACTGAAACAAAAACAATATCAGCCTCCCGCACGTGTTTCTCGACATCTGTGCTGAAGAAGAGGTTCCTGCCTCGGCATTCCTTGACTACATCCTCGAGGCCTGGCTCATAGATGGGGAGCTGGTCGCTGTTCCAGGCTGTGATGCGAGGCACAGAAATATCAACAACAGCCACTTCAATAGAAGGGCACTTGAGTGCTATGACAGCCATGGTGGGCCCCCCAACATATCCAGCACCTATACAGCAAATCTTCACCATTTTCCTTCGTTCCAAACTGCAATAGACAAAAGTTCATGACTTTGAGTACTTATGAGGCTGGACTTCTCACAACATAAAGGCAAGTCCATAATGTAAGGAGCAATATGAAGAAAACTGAAATGCATTTATAGAGGAACAAAATGGATCCAAATAGTGCGTGCACTTGGTAGATTGACTAATTGTGTTTATATATCTCCCTTCACTGACCCTATTCAGCAAACACTTGTCCTACACTGACATCCACGATAAAAAATGATTGCATAAGAATAGTAACAGCTAAATACCAACCACAAGATCCACATTCTTAACATCTAAATGTAATACTACCAAAAGTTGGATTAGGCTTTCATGTATTTCAGTACTGCAAATTATTACAAAATTTAGTCAAAGAAAGAGTACCCACAGAATGACATTAACTAAAACGCTAGTTGATTTCCTCCATTCTGTCCAAGCGTTGATGGACCCTTGGACAAAGTTACCTGATACTTGTTACCAGTGGGAGGTAGCAGGTGGAACTAGTCGAGGTACGCCAAGTTGGCCCGGACAACACAGTACACATATTGTCACTTTCTATTCATTGATAAGATATGCACCAATGAACTCGGAATTGGGAGGGAACGTGCGAATTTCATTAATTCAACAC